AAATCCCGTCCGTCTCACTTTACAGATGAGGAAACAGACGCAGCTGTTGCCCCTTGCCTCAGGTTACGTGGTGGTGAGGCCAGAACCCCAGCCCTCCCCAGGTGGACACTCAGGTGTTAGGCACAGTGTCCTGGAGCCTCTGTGTCCGTGTCATGTCGGAGCTGGGCTTGAGTGACGGTCATGAAGACAGACAACGTCCTGCCTTCATACAGGTCACAGATTGGAAACAAAGCAAGGGCAGAAACCTCATTCCTATTGTGCCGTCCAGGAGGGAGCAGAGGGGCTCAGCTGCGACCTGGCAGCAGAGGCCTTGCCCAGGCGGAGCCCGAGGCTGGAGCCCCGGGAGCAGAGACCTGGGCTGGGACAGCCTACAGCCACCTGGGCTCTGAGTGTCAGAGAAATGCCCCCCGGACAGGAAGCCTAAAGCAGAAGCAGGGAAGTGGCCCCAGACGAGGCAGGCTCGGGCCAGATCTTTGAATCCTAAAAGCGCTGAAAAGCTAGGGAAGGACTTGGAGCAGGTGACAGGGCTGGGCTGGGGTTCTTAAGGCCCCTCCCCCTAAATGAGGAGAGTGGACTGGAAGGCAGGCAGAGAGGAGCGTGGTCCCGTCCTCCTGAGAGAGGGCGCAGCCTGGCTGGGTGGGACCAGAGGGGCGGGGGCAGGGGGGCCTAGGAGGGTTAGATAGGGGACTGAAGGAGAGAGTCCTGCTGGGAGCTCCAGGCAGAGGGGGCCTGGTGGTCCCCTTTCCTGTGGGAAGCCTGGGAAGGGCTGATGTGTGGGGTCCAGGGGAAGAGCAGCCCGGCCCTGTTTGACCTTGCAAGTGCCGGGTGCCCGAGAACACGGGTGACAGGCAGGCGGGGGCTGGACACTGCAGACTGGGGCTGGAGACAAGCTTGCGCACAGGATTTAAAGGGGGGAGGGGGACGACTGGGGGGAGAGTGTCGGGGGCGGGGAGGGCCTGAGCCCCACCACATTTAGAATCTGGTGAGGGAGGGGAGGAAAGGCCAGAGAAACAGAAGGACTGGTCAGCAAGGCGGGAGGGACCAGGAGAGGTGACGGGGTGGCCGGGAAGGGGTGCACTGAGGAGCCCGTGCTACAGGGCGAGGGCTCTGGGCCTGGACGAGAGGAATCCTGGTCCCACGTGGAGCCACGGCAGGGGGAGCCCGCTGGGCCCTCGCGCTCTGCTCCGCTGTTCGCCACACAGGACTGTGTGTGGTGAGGGCCCGAGGGTGGCAAGCACTTAAGAGCTATTAAAATAACTCTTTTCAAGTAGGGTATGGCTGGTGGGAAATGCTGTTGAGAAACTGAGTCAGGTGGAGACAGAAACGTCGGTGGAGTCAGCGTGTGGGTGTTGGTGGCCCTGACGAGATAGGTGTGTGCGGAGGAGATGGAGCCACACCCATGTGGGCACAGAGTGGAGGACGAGAGGAGCAGGGGGGCGGGCACAGTTCTTGCGAGAAGAGCCCCGCAAGCAGAGTGGGGACATGAGGGGCCGCCGGGGAGGCGTGTGGGTCCAGGAAGAAGGTTTAAGGTGGACACGGAAGCCTGCTGATCGTGGGTGGGATGACGCAGTCAGACTTGAGACCCCGCTCATCCAGAAGACAGGGAGGACGCGTGAGGTGTGACTTGGTTGAGAAGGCGAGAGAGGAGGGTCCGGGGCTCAGGCAGCGGGCTGGCCGTCAGTCAGCGCAGAGGGCAGAACGGTGGGCACAGCAGACAGCAAGGGCTCCAGGGTTCAGAGGCGAGAAGGGGCTCCAGTCAGCTCGGCCAGCTCTGTCTCCTCTTTGACGGGTCACGGTCAGCCCGGGGGTGGGGGCGGGGCTATGGGAAAGGGCTGAGGAGTCAGGAGAACATCTGGACCGAGGCCCGGAAGGGATCAGTGTTTTGGTCAACACAGCGAGGGGATGCGGCGCTAGTCTCGCCGTCCACCGAGCCCCGGGCAGAGGGCCACTCTGCAAGGACTGACGGCCACTCGCAGACCGAGAAATAAGTGTCAGTCCTGCAGTCAAGCCCTCAGTGAGGACAGAACCTGGACATTGTCCCTCTTGGGGACTGCGGGCCCCAGCTCCTGGCCCAGAGAAGCTCAGGGTAGGACGGTAGAAGGAAAACAAAGTCCCCGCCGCCTTTCGCTTCCCGGGTCCCCAGAGAATCAAGAACAGGTCCAGTGAGAGCTGATGGGACGAAGGCCTCCCTCAGCCTTGTGACTTGGGAGGGTGACGGGAACTCATCAGGACACATGACCCCTTTCCTAGGTAGCCTTCGTGCTGAATGTGTACGAGTGAATTCCTGAACGCCCGGGAGGGGAGGCGTGCTCGGAGCACCTGCGCGCCCCCGGGGCTATCCCAGAACCAAGGGGCCAAGGTCGGTTCCCAAGTACAAGTCTCCCTCCCTCCCACCCTGCAGGGAAGCAGGATTTAGGGTAAAAGACATGGTTTTGAGAAGTCAGGGATTGTGCTGGCCAAGCTCCCTGCCCGCCTGCTTGCCTGCAGGCTGACCTGCAAGGCCGGGAGGACCTGCTGGGACACCGGGCTTTCCTTCCTCCCCATCTGCCAGGTCCCAGGTGGGGTGGCGCCTGCGACCGCACCCACCCTGTGTTCAGCCCTTGGGCTGCCTCTGACATGTGCTGTTCCTCGGTGTGAGTTTCAGGAAAGGTGTCTCCTCTGGCTGGCCTGTGCCCCAGGGAGCAGGCTTGGCCAGCAAAGCCACCTGCTCGAGAAGGAAAGCGCTGCCTGCCGTCCTGGGAGAGACGCAGCCCTGGGCACACCGGCCAGTGGGGTCCCGGCTGGATTTCAGCCCCGCGCTTTGCCCGGTGCACCACCTGCCCAACCCGAGCCACAGCAGGCACGCTGGGGGCCAGGTCCCCACCTTGCAGCTGAAGTCGCCCAGCCCGGAGGGAGCACCTCTTCACCTGAGGAAGAAACAGTCCTCAGACTCGGCGCAGCTCAGCCCTCTGCAGGTCGCATCTGTCCTTTGGTTCAGGCGGCAATTTCAGAAAGCCCGCCGTGCGCCCCCCAGAAGCACGGGGTCTAATGGGCACACACGCAGGTCACTGCAGCACAGGGTGGACGGTGGGGGCTTGCGAGCACACAGGGCATCTGGGGAAGCCGTGTGCAGGGAGGGGGCTGGCAGAGCCTGGAGTGAGGCGGGTGGTTCGTACAGAGCACAGTTCAGGAAGGGCATTTGGCGTGGAGGGAGCAGCCCTGCAGAGGTGTGGGGGGACAGGACGTGAACAGACAGGCAGGGGGTTGGAGAGTGGCAGGGCCTAGTTCTGAATGCTGAGCACAGACATTCGGTTTACATTCACCGGCAGTGGGAACCGCTGCAGGTCTGCCAGCAGGGGAGGGAGTCTGTCTGCAGCATTTCTCACAGTAACCCGATGGCAAGGACACACCTCAGAATCTTCGTCCCTGGGACCTGTTCAGAGAGCGACCTTCAGAGCTGCCCTGCAGCGGGGCCCTGACTGCCCTCAAGTGTGTGTTTGTTGATGGGCCTCGAATGCCCAGAGCCAGCTCCCCGGGTTCTGTTCCTCCCGTGCCTGTGTCCCTCCGTCAGCTCACAGGCCCTCTCTGTAGTGATTTTTTTTTTTACTTGAATTGAGCCCCTGGTGATAGGGTGAGAGAAAGTTCATTCGCTATTGCTCCTCTGGCCCCTGACTTTCGTCACTGTCCTGGGCACAGAAACGGTGCCCTCCTCGGACCTCACTGGGCACTCACTGGCCTGTAAGGGCCAGACCCGGAGCTGAGGGGTGCAGAGAGGGCTGCGCCTAGTGATAGTGGGAAAGGGCAATACTGATCATATCCTGGAGGCTTTAGAGAAGCATAAGTAATATTCCTCTCTTGACCGCTGGAGTTCTCAACCCATTAAGAAATAGAGGAAGCAGATGGAGACCAAACTCCCAGCTTTGTTACTGGGGCGGCTGAACCGGAGAATGGGGCTTGACCTCTGGCCTCAGTTGGGCTCCCTGATGCGTCACAGCTGAGTTGGAGTCGCCCATCCCAAATCACTGGCCTCCCCGGGGGCAAACATCTTCGACTGCCAGGGGCGGAGGCCAGCGGTCAAGGCCAGATGGATGCGGAAGGGGCTGGCCTGCGGGGGGGGTCAGTGGTCACAGCACAGCAGCCGTGTGACTGATGCCCTGGGCAGTGGTCTGGACAGACACTCAGGAGGGGACAGGAGTCGATGCCCTAGCACTGGGACGATGATGCGCTGTGCTCACAAGGCCCTGCAGAGGACAGGCGCTTGCGTGTACCTGAGAGACAGAAGGTGGCCCTTGGACACGCGTGATGCGCTCTTTCGGGGAGGCTTGGGCCGCAGAGCACTCGGGGCCCTCCACGTAGAGCTGGGAGAGTTGAGGCCTGAGACTGGAGGAAAGGTCATTTTCCTGCTTTTTGAGTGACAGCTTGGTTGTTCCAGGAGCTTTGTTGATGTTGTCCAGTTAACAGTCTCCAGGCTGCAGGGACTTTCCCCGGCTGGAGCGGCCGCTGTATCTCCACAGACACCTAAGCCCCAGCCGGCTGCCCTTGTCACACTGTCTGGCATCAGGAGAGCAGGCCGGAGGGCAGAGCCGTTGCCCTGTGAGGGGCTGTGTGCCTCTGGTTTGCTTGTCCTTGAGCTCACTCTGGCCCTTTCTCTGTGGCTGTCAGAGCGGAGGGCCAGTGCCCAGCCACCAGCGTGTTCTAGTTGGGCCCTGGGGGTGGGTGTCCTGTGGGGGGCTCCCACATAGGCTCGCTGCCCTCTCGCTGGTGCTGACATGTGTCCCCTTCAAGGCCCGCGGTATGAGCAACTCAAGTCCCTGTGTGACAGTGGGCCGGAAGGACTGTCAGCCTGCAGCTGTTGCCCCTGGGGTGGGGGATCGGCTGGCCCTGGGCCCTGTGTAGTCTAGATGGACCCCTGCCAGACTCTGGTGGGGGGAACACAAATGTCCCCAATCAGAGTCACCGCCATCTGCAGGGCCCCTGAGGGCGGTGAACCAGGAAAGCCTCTCCCTCTGCTGTCCCCACAGCTGAAGTCTACATTGGCATTGGGAAGCCTGCAGAAGCCACAGCCTGTACCCAGGAAGCTGCCAACCTCTTCCCGATGTCCCACAACGTCCTGTACATGCGTGGCCAGGTTGCCGAGCTCCGGGGAAACATTGACGAAGCCCGGCGGTGGTACGAGGAGGCCTTATCCATCAGCCCCACGCACGTGAAGAGCATGCAGCGGCTGGTGAGTCTGAGCGGCGGGACCCCCACTCTCATTCGGGGCTCCCCTTGGAAGCAGCAAGTAGCTCATGACCCTCAAACGCTATTGTGGTTCCAAAGGCCAGAGGCGGGGAGTTTGCCAGGCTGGCCCAGTGCGCAAAGCCAGCGGGCACTATGCCTCCTGCCGTTGATGTAAACGGAGCCCCTAGGAGTTGGCAGCGCTCAGCCTTGGAGCCCTGCCTGGTGGTCCTGTGTGGCAGGGGACAGTGTGAGGCCGTGGGCTCCTGGCCACCCTGTGGCTCTGGGTTTGCTACAGATAGCCTTGTGGCCCTGGGCACTGCCATTGTCATCTGGGTCTCTGCACTGCTTTTAGCGGCCACCTTGGGGGGTGTCCACCCCCCAGGGAGACTTCTGTACAAAGTCAGAGCACTCTCCAAGCAGGGGGGGGGGGCTCTTATTTTGAGGGAACTGGAGACTCCAGCTTGTCTCTGAGGCCACTGGCTAGTGGGGGCCTCCTGTCAGAGGACCAAGAGGACCCGGGTAAGTCACTGCAGTGTCCACAGAGTATGGGGTGCTGCTCTCCAGAAATACACACGTATCCCTCTCCTAGGTGCCAGGTCAGAAGCCTGGGGCCACCCCACCACTGCCCCCAGTCCCTGCCTTGGAGTTGGCAACCTGTACCTCAGTTTCTGTTAGGTGGGGGAGCAGTCTGACCATGCCAGAGGGTCTGCTCTGGCCATTTTGGCTCAGCGGTTAGAGCAGACCACAGAGTCATGGTTCGATTCCGGACAAGGGCACGTACCTTGGTTGCGGTTTGGTCCTTGGCTCTGGTTGGGTCTTGTGGGAGGCAACCAGTTGATGTGTCTCTCTCACATCGATGTGTCTCTCCCTCGCTCTCTCCCTCTTCCCTCTCTATCTGAAGATACAGGAAAAATATCCTTGGGTGAGGATTTAAAAGAAAAAAAAGAACATACACTGAGCCGGCTGCCGCTCTTACCTCCCTGTGAGAGTCTGAATCAAACGCAGAGGTGACCAGGCCCACGGAGTTGGTGGACAGCCACACTGCTCCCTCTGGGTCTGCACGCCGGGCTGAGGGTCTGAGTTTCTGTTTCATTCTTAGCGGTAGGGCCTCTGCGATTAAATGAGCCCCAGGAAAGGAAAGCCTCACAATGACAAGGAGGTGCCCTGTGCGTCAGCTGCTGGGGAGCCAGTGGTGTGTGGTCCGTGCAAGCGGGCTCTGGACCGGGGTCCAGGGACAGAGTTCTGGCCCCAGTGGTGTCGCTCACTCGCCCGTCAACTTCAGGAAAAGTCCATATACGCTCTCTGCTCTGTTTGCCTTCTGTAAAAGGAAAACATCCAGCTAGAGAGGCTGGGGTTGCTCTCAGGTGTTAAGAGGATATGGTTTTGTAACTGATTAGTAAGATGCTGTCTGCAGGATCCCAAGGCCTTCGTTCTCTTGCGGTTTCTCATAGTCACATTAAAATGTAGAGGGAGCCGAGCAGTAACTACTGGTTCTCAGCAGGAGAACACCCCGGCCCCAAACCCTGGGTGCCATGAAAGGGCATGTGCCTCCCAATCAGATGTGGGTTCCAACTCAGCCCCGGTTTTTGCTCCTGGGGACCTTTTGGCTGTTGCTTGGCCTCCAGGGGCCTCGGTGTTTCTGTGAATTGGACTCGTGAGACCTGAATGAAATTATTTCCATAACAAGCCTCGCAGAGTTCCTGGCACCTAGTAGGTGCTCATTTAAATAGACTGACGACAATCATCTTCAGTTTTAAGAATGAATCAGACCTTATAATAATTACAGCTACCTAATTTCTTTCAACTTTCCTTTACGAGCATTGTATGGCTCAGTGCAACTTTATAATGCTACATAGTATCCAAACACTAGTTTGTTTGATTGGAAATATTACATGGCTTTTCATTTCTGTCTCACTGTCGTAAGAGGCCTCTGTAAGAGCTTCTGAGCCGGCTGTGTTTTTTCTAGCGTGCTGCAGGAGAGGTCTAATCAATGCCGTGTACCCAGCCTTTTTATTAAAGAGGCAGCGTGTTTCTACCTCGGGGCCTATGAATTATTCAGAGAAGTATTTCTTGTCCATCCCCGAGGGGAACACATGAGACAAAAGATCAAATAGGAAAATCGCACCAGGAAGGTTTCCTGTTTCACCTCTGGAGCCTGTCAAGACACCGGAGCTCCCTGACAAATGCCAGGCGCTCTCCTCTGTGAAAGGAGCCCCGCAGCGGGCCCAGCACGGGCGAGCTGGCGAGGGGGCCCGGGGGCAGCGGCCCTGCCTGCTGGGTCCTGGACACCACCTGGGCCTCCCCTGGCTCGGAGACGTGAGCTGCTTCATAGGTCTCAGCAGGAGAAGATGATGATGATGATGATGAACCCTTGAGGCGCTCACTGCGCCCTGACATATAAAAAGCTACCCAGACTGGAGGCAGGCAGAGACCAACCAGCCTACAGATTTCAAGGATTTAGATTCTTGCGATCCAAAACCGCCCAGAGACTGTGATCAGTGTGACTCCCAAAAGGTGGCTTGGAGGGCTCAGGTGTCCTCATAAACGACGCATGCTGGCCTGCGCACTCCAGCCTGCAAGCTCACAGCCCTGTGCCCGGCCTTCCTCCCCGAGCCTGGGGAAAGCTGCGTTCCTGGCTTGGATGGCGGGAGGGAGGACGATAGCCATGCGTACACTCGGGAGCCAAGGACTGGGGAGGCTGGAGTCCCAGCTCTGTCGCTCACTAGCTTTGGAACCTTAGGAAGTTACTCACCTTCTTTGTGCCTCCGTTTCCGCAGCCCGTAAATGGGGATAAGATTAGCACCAGACACAAATTAAGCGGAGGAACTGGAATTCTCTTACTGAGTCACGGGAGACCCTGCCTGACCCTCACGGAAGCCAGACTGAATGTAGAGAAGGGCCCGGCCGCGAGGTCAGAAGCTGTGTTTTCACCAGGTCGAGGCCCAGGGAAGAGCCAGGCTCCGGGCGTCGTGGCGAGGGAGGCGGGCACGGAGATGAGGGTTGCACTTGCCTGGCCCTCGGGGACAGGAGTAGGCACGTGAGCGGTGGGCCCGGGACGCCTGCCAGGCTGGGTCCGGGCACGGCTCAGAAGGTCAAGACTGGAAGGCGGTTGAAGGATAGGAGCACCGGAGACCACCAAAGGGCCAGCCCAGGCGGTTCCAGGGGGAGGAACCACTCGTGTCTGTAGAAGGACCCCAGGAGGGGAAGTGTCTGCGTGGTCACGTGTGCTCCCAGGAAGGAGGGAGCGGAGGGCTGGTCGGAGGGAAGGAAGGAAGCCAGCCCCGTGCCTGTTACAGGTGGAGACCAGGGGCTGCCGCAGACAGCAGTGAACAGCCAGGAGCTGGAGCCTGCTCCATAAAGAACAGTCATTTGTCAGCTCCGGGGGGAGTGAGTGGTGTGTGTGCCAGATCGCCCAGCCCCCTGGAGGGAGAGGTATGATTTAAGCAGAAATGCAAACACATTAATATCGTTAAAAAGCAATAATGACTCGGAGGCAGATGGTATTCATTGAAGTTATCAGAAGGTCAGACTTGACAAGAGAAATGTGAATTAAACCCCAATGAAAATTGACAGTTTTCTAACCATTTTAGCCTTCATAGGTGTTTAAATTCAGAGAGAGAGAAGGGAGAAGGGAAACAATGTATTTAATGTTAGTAATGAGTTAGCACAAGACGAGAGGCGGGAGCTGCGTGTGGGCAGACAGAAGGGCGCAGGAGCCGAAGGGATGGGGAATTACAAAGAGTGTTGACAAGGGGAGGAATTCACAGGCTGATCAGACTTTTTTTCCAAAAAAATCTAAAGGCATATTTTCATATCATTTTTGCATGTGTATAAATTTACATACATCCACATGCCATGCTTAAAAGCCTTTAGCTCCCAGGACCCAGAACGGATTCATGAAACAGAGAGCAGGCTTCTCCTCCGCAGTTTTCTGTGACCTGGGGCAGGGGAGGGAAATGGACTCGCAGGGGACTGAGGGCAGAGGAACAGCATCCCGGGCAACGCTGCCCAGGCCAAGGACAGACAGAGACTCAGGGCGGCCGAGGACAGTCACCATGACAGGGACAGGCTCTGCAAACAGGGACATCTGCTTGTCCTCTGGTCACGGCAGCCTGGGCTTTGGAAGGCCGTGCGAGATGTGAGGGTGGGAAGGAACAGGAGCTTCCAGGAGAGAGAGGAACGTGGAAGGCAGCCCAGAGGGTTGTGTGAGGGGAGTCGGCAAGGCTGGAAGGGAGGGGTACTGCTGAGAAATAAATTTATCCCAGAGCACATTAGCAGGATGCTCCAGCCTCCCTCCCATCCAGTTGGCAGGTTGAGAAGAGGTGGGAACAGAAGCAGACGGTGGGGCCATCAGGGCTTGGCGCGTGGGCAGCGGTGGAGAGAGGGAGGCCGAGTGCCTGAGGCAGGCTGGAGAGGCCTGGCCCAGAGCAGCATGGGAAGGGGCCGGGGCCCTGGAGGGCAGACACCTGCGGGGCAGGAGGAGAACCGACCCGAGCGGGGGCCTGCGGCTAGAGCAGGTCTGGTACAGCAAAAAGGGAACTTCAGAGGTGATGTGAGGAGATTAACCACACTGAGGGGCTGTCCCCCTGAATGTCGAAGTTGGCAAGGCAAGGCAAGGTGGGGGCCAGGAAAGGGAAGGGAGACTTCCATCTGTCATGCACAGGAGGTAGCTCGCAGACTGGGGACATGGGAGTCCCGGGCCACTGGTGAGCTCCCTGAGGAAGGGGTGGATAATTGGGGGAGAGAGATGGGAGGCGATGGGTTAGGCCCAGGGAGTGTGCCAGCTGGGGGGCCGCAGGGTGAGGTGGGAAAAGGAGACCACAGGGCGCATGCTCCATGTTGAGGGACCCCCAAAGGGCCAGTCTGATCATAGAGTCAGCTTTCGGTTTGGGCCACGATGGGCCCAGAAGCGCTTGTTTGTCTTCTGCGAATGGATGTAAGACGTGAAAGCCGAGTTCAGGCTCAAGGCTCCCCGCACAGGCCATCGCTGAGGGTTTTCTCCCG